TGGGTTCTGTAATCACATATTACTCTTTCAGGAATTTCTTGCTCAGTGAACGGAACCCGCACTGCTGTGGAGAACAAGAACTTTGATTAATAGTCTGCAATTTAGGCACCATTATTGGTTATGTGAAAATAAATCGGCTCTCGCATCATACCATCATCTGGGTGGTAGTGCACTAATCATCATCTCTCTTTCTGCTGTGTATTTCTGTTATTTACTCAGATACTGCATGTAGATACTATTCTTTGCAATGTCTTTACAGGTGTTTACACAGTGTATAGCAGATGTCGTTCATGAGTTTATAGTTCTCCATTCCCATGCAAAGAATGGTATCTACATGCAGTGTATGAGCGAATAACAGAAATACACAGCAGTAAGAGAGATGATGATTAGTGCACTACCACCCAGGTGATAGTATGATGTGAGAACTGATTTATTTTCACATAACCAATAATGGTGCCTTAATTGCAGACAATTTCCATGTGACCTTCATAGACCTTCCATCTCTGTTGCTTTGGGAACCAAGACTCTGGATTTAGCCAATGGAACACCATTCTCTAGTGATTGGCTAATCGTGCAGTGGTGGCTCCATTTCATCAGGCTGTGTCATGTGCTGAGGTAGCACCTGTAACTTTTCACCTTTTACCAGTGTCATCTCTAATCTGACTTGGTTTCAATGGTACTACACTCATTAGGTAATGGATTTTTATACCTAGATTTTTTAATCTCGAGTTGCTCATGCAATGACAGACCAGAATGGGGAATCGGCTGTTACCATTTTTCTTCTTAGAATGTGTTTACATATGCACAGTTTTGGAAGAAGAAGAGGGGCAGGTAATTCACTACCTTATACATCCCTGAGCCTGCTCAACCATTCACCAAGAACATGGCTGATCTGATTGAGGCCCAATTCCAATTTTATGCCTACTCCAAAACCCTTTGTCAAAACTCTGTCTACTTCTGCCTTAAAATATTTCAATGATCCTGGCTGCACTCTCTGGGAAGGAGAGTTTCACAAGCTGTCTAGGTAGGGAAATGTCCTCCTATCCATCTTAAATAGGGA